AATGATAATTGCCCACATCATATGAGTCAGTTTTTTATGTAAAGACAAATATTTTCAATCAAGACCATGTTGCCTGAATTTAGTTTCTGCCTGGAGAAAAAAGTGCCAAGTGTTTTAGGAGGAAATATTCATGTTTTGTCCCCCAAACTTGTTCAGAATAGCTCTGAGAGCACCTAATTCTCAAAATGTTTCAAGAAACACGTGGTAGCCCCCAAAACCCCAGCTGGATTTACTTGCACTACACACTCATAGCCCACTCTATGGGATTTCAGTTTTTTATTTTTTTCATTAATGAGCCAAATGATAAATCAAATAGCAAATTCCACTAATCATCTAGCTCTACTCATCATTATATTCAACCTTCTCTTCTATCTCTAATTCCTGGAGTAACTAGTTTTTGAATGGTTAGTTGGTGTGCTTCAAGACTTTCAGTGTGTTTACTGTGCTTATGTGAATCATATAACTGCTGTAACTTATAATTCTCCTCACTTAGCTGATAGCAGAAAAGATACAGACCAGTTCCACCAGAGCTGAGTTTGTTACGTGCTTTATGTGAGTACCGTAACCGAACTCAGTTACAATTCTTGAGCCTCTCTTCCATTATTGTTTTGCACTAACTCCCTTTTTTTAGTTACATCCAGTTGAGGTTGTCCGTGATATGTTTCATTGTGAGATGGAGACATATATTTGGTCTGGGGGTGTCCCTCTAGCGGGGGGGCTGAGGCTGCTTTTGCTGATGATCCAGAACATTCTGGAGAGAATTTAGGCCTTTTTTTTTTTTTCTGGTGCCTTCATTTACTAGGTCGGCTTCTCATAAGGCCAGTTTGGATCAGCTGCCTCCTGCTCCATTTCTTCAATTGGGCAATTAGGTTTGTGGGGTTTTTGGGTTTTCCCTGGTTGCCCTTGAATCTACTCAATATAAAACTGATTCTTCCAATACGATATGTAACCTTACATCTAGCTTTCCTGATTCAGTGCTGCCTTGTATATGCAAAGTTTTATGCACACCACTAGCCATGAGGCTCCAACCAAATGTTATGTCTTTCCACTTGGTATTGCTGTTGCATATGACACTGCCTTCTAATGCAGCTGGTTCCCTTTATATCAATTGTTCAGTCATCACTTCTTGATTTGGACTCTTGTGTTCAGACATATTTTTTTGCTCACTTGAGAGATCTCAATGTACATATTTTGTTGTGGAAATATTTCAAAACCACAATGTTGTGAAAATATTACTTTGTTTTTGGTGTTCAAAACTGCATTTGCAAACTTTGTAGTTCTTAATTTCCACATCATGAATTCTCAAGTGATGGTAACTTCCACTTTGTCCAGTGTTGAACATCAAGGTATTATTCACTTTTGGTAAACAACTATAATGATGTTGGATTCTTCTTTATCTGTTGAGGATGTGACAGCTATTGTGTGGTGAAAAATGGAGTCTTACATGCAGCTTGGGCTTGCTTCTGTACCTGACACAGACATTCTTCCTTCTTTGAATCCCATCGGTGTTGAGGATTTTGAAAGTCTTTTTCCCACCACCTACTTTTGCCAACACTTCTTTCAGTGCTGTTGTGAATCTACCTCAACCTTCTGTGTCTTTCCTTAACATGGTTTTTCAGGTATGTTACCTTCTTTCTCTCTCTCTTCTGTTTCTTATGATTCTTTATTTTTCCTTATTCATTCAGCCCTTTCTTCAGAGTATTATGTTTTTCTTCCTTCTCTTGATATCCCATTCCATTTTGAATATTTTTGTCTCAACTTTGCTCTGATGCCAGCATGCCTTGTCCTTCTTTCCTAGTTGATTCTTACGTCTTGGCTTATTATCAGGCTGAAGTCCCCTTCTTGGACTCTGAAACTCTAGAGTCTCTTCTTCAGGCTTGGAGTTCAGATCTTTTGTCTTCTGTACATCTTTCTCAGGCCCAATTTTTACACCTTTGCCTTACCCTCACAACCCTTTTGCATTATCTTTCCTCCTTTCATCTTCTTTCAGAGGCAATCTACTATTCCACTGAGTGGTTTTTGGAGGACACTCATTCCCTTCTTTTTTCTATGTTAGCATGTTCTTCTTCCTTAGCCTTTTTCCTTGCACTCTGGTTACTCTATTGCTTGGATTTGCAGGGAGGGACACCAGTTTTGTCTAGATACATTTACCTCCCTCTTATCTCAAGGACCACTATCTGGCTCCTTTCCTCCACCAAGGGCTTTTTGGTGGGGTACTTGATTCTTTGGAGTTATGGGCTATGGCTGTGCATCAACATTTTTCCTTGTCTTTCACCTTTCCCAAGGTCCTACTCTTCCCATCATTGTCTTCTGTTCTCCTACATCCTTGCTGTTCCCTGTCCTCCCATCCCATTTCTCTGCTCCCATCTGATCTTGGTCTTTGACATTGAGGTCTCAACTACAATACTGCATGATACTAATAGATTATGTTAAGCAAACTTGAATTAATCAAAAATAATAATGAAAATCAAATACCAATATTTGATTACTGGATAATTGGAATAATCAAAAATATTAATTATTTGGAACATTAATTTTGATCATTTGATTATTTTTGTAACATTTATCGATTTAACTTTTTTTTTGTATGGTAGGATCAAAGTGTGTTGTTACGACCTTTTACAGAGTTATATTAAAAATTTAAACAACTTAATTATCAATGTATGTTATTAAAGTTGGTATCAGAATGTAGTTTATACATCAGATACTTATATTATCAAAGTTTTACTGTCTTATTTTCAAAATGAAACATTTACAAAATTTGATCTTGCTTGTGTCACATGACACATCTTTGCTCTAAATTCTCTTACTTCAAATTTGTAACTTTGATACAGCATCTATAATTTCTAGCTATTTATAAACATAAACTATACATAATTACAAACAAGAATATGAAATATTAATCTCCCACTTACTTGATTTGCTAAGATAACAATTCATTTGTCAAACCCACCAGATAAGTCCTTACCATCCTGCTACTTTAAAGACAGTTGTATGATCAAGTGTACATTACTGACAGGCAGGTTTATAACCAATAGAAAGAGTAGATTTTTCTAGATATAAATTATGATCCTTTATTTATTTCTGGCAGTGAAAAATGGTAATATAGAAGTGCTTGATTTGTGTTGAGCAAAGCAGTTGCTCTGGGCAGTAATGGATTTTTTAACCCATTCATAGCTTAGTTAGAAAACTAAATGAATTATAGTAATTTTCTGTTCTAGTAATTAATATGTTTTTTGTTACTTAAAAGTACATCATTTTTTTATTTTTGGACAACAAACTTACAAAAAAATAAGACCAAAGTATTGTTCATTTTATTCAATATTTTTCAACACTTCATTTTTACTTTGCATTGATGATTTTTATTGAAACTTCTGATGTTTATGTAAAAGTTTTGCAGGTTATGCTGATGAAATATGAAACTGTAAGACAAAAATGAGTATTTTTTTTAACTTCAAAATTACTTTTCACTCAGACTGACTCAGTAAAGTCTATGTAAATTCACAGACAAGTCTTTAGTAAAAATACTTTACTGTAATATCCAATTTTTTTTGGTACAACAGACTTGTAACCTGGACTAAAAGATTGCCAAATTTTGTGAAGATACACTTGTAATACATTCAGAGTTAAAGTATGTATAGTTTCGTGCTTACAGGGTTATTCCAAGGTGGGTTAAATCAACCACCTTCGTACTTAACAAATTAATTAATTGTTGAAGTAATTGGAAACTAATTCTGATTACTTTATTATTTTTGTTATACTAATAGATTTATTTGTAATTTCCATTAATGTTATGTGGCATTTATTACAGTAATTGTTGCTGCTCACGGGTAATGAATTTTATGAACCGGGGTTAACTTTATATGAAAAAAGAAATGACAGTTTAAAACAAACACTTTTTGCAGCTTCTTTTGTAATTTCAAAACTCAAATGAAATTTTTCTATATGTTCTAAACTTGAAGTAGAAAGTACATGTAGCATTCATTGAAGCAGCATAGATGATAACATCGATTTATTAAATTCACAACTTAGTCAAGGAAATTAAAGATTTTTTAATCATTAAGAAATTTTTTCTTTGAATACATAAAACATCAACTCTTCCATCTCTTAAAAACCTCACATTCAATATCATTTGAACAACATTATAAGATAAAACAAGCACCTTAATTACTTTACTATGGAACATAAATATTCTTCATCAGAAAGAATATCAATATATTTGTATAAAGATTGAATGAAAGTCCAAGAATGTTAAATTCTAACACATGAATATAGTTTATAAGTTCTGAAGCAATATGATATTGTAATATTTTGGATAAGCAATTGTATTTTAAAATCTGAATCAGTCTTAAGAAATAGTTCCAAATACTTGATTTTAGGTTTCATGTTACAACTTTATGGTTCTGAATCACCTATAAAGAAAGTATCACACAGTATAGTTGCATTACTGATTCCAAACTGCAATGTTAAAGATCTATAGCTCTCTTTCCTGCAAGATGAGCACATTTTTTTGTATTAATGAACATTAAGAACACCAAAGATGTTTGCACATACAGAGTTGCTAAATAACCTCATGTAAAGATATCGGAGCATGTATTCACTAATATGGTTTAGTGTAAATTTACCAGTTTTTTTTAAAACTGTCTCTGTTATTTTGATATCCTGCTATTAATTATTTACTTTAAATAGTATTTAAAAGTGATTAAAACCAATAAAATAAAACATTTATTTGACTATTTCACTTTTTAGTTAAGTGAGATTAAAGATTAGAATAATTGAGATCTGACACCACAGCACATCATAGTTTAATAGTAGTAATTCAATGAAATGATTAACACTGTAATACCTAATGAGAAGCTTAAGTATAACAGATGATGTGAAAATACTTCTAAGCAGAAGGATATTCAGTTTAATATTGTATTAAAAGAACTGAATGACATATTGTAAATGAATGTTTTAAAAGGTAATCAGCACTAATTCATACCTCCACTTGTTTCCAGCTGTAATTGTTCTGTAAGAATGAAGCGTGTTACATCACCAAAAGCAAGCTCTTCTAAGAGACCAAGGAAGAGTCAAGACTCACAAAAGGCCCCAACAATTGACTCTGTCCATGAAGCACTGGACTGTTTGGAGTCAGGTTTGTATGATTTCAAAAGAAAAGGGAAAAGTAACATATATAAATGTGATGCATTTAAACTATTTTGCAAAGTGTGTTCATGATATATATATATTATATAATAAAATGTAGTTTACTAAATAGAAATAATCAAATTGGGATAGCTTTTTCTAAATGAAAATATATATGAAACCCAATCTATTATTTGATTTGTCACTGAAGTGTACCAATTTTGGGATGTTGCACCCCTTTTCAATAACTGGACAAAGGCAAATCCAAAGTACAAAAGTTACAAGTCTAGATTTCTTATAGTGGTGGATTGTATGTTATATGTCCTTTAATCACCACAGTAAACCCATATTTATATAGGGTTTGGAGAATCTGCAGCATTAGTGCTATTAATGTATTCATTTATATTATATAGCAGATAATCTAAGAAATGATAGATAGAGCTTCATATTTATTTTTAGCATTTTAAACAATATATGTGTGTAACAGTACTTAAATATATAAATATAAAATTTGACTCTTGAAACACTTTTCAAGATGTACATGCACTTTATGCTCTTCAGCTGCAGTTTTCTTTTGGTTAACAAATCCATAACAAAGGAATAATTTCATTATGATAGATTAAAGAAATTAGATTTCTTTGTTTTTTAAACTACTGTATTTTTCCTTCCCATATGGCTGTTTTAACAGTTTCTTTGTATTTTCTTATGTTATCATGTTTTTGTTGAATACATGTGAACCACTTCACACATGGGTGAGCTTTAAAGACCTGTATTTGCATCTAACAAAAAAAATAATTCATCCTAAAGTTTAATATTTTATGGTTATCTAATAACAGCACATCAATATTTACCCTATCATGGCCAGAGAACACCTTTCAGATGTTGAGTTCATACCTGCATATCAGATTTACATACCTAAGTAGAAATAATACTTTGTTTGAACCATTCAAATTGAGATATTTTAGAATTTATATTTTGCCATATAGAAACATTTATTTAGTGTAATTTGCAAATAAAAATGGATAAAATGTTCAAATATTTATTTTGGGGCAGTTATGAGGAGTCTCCTTGCAAACAACACATTTATCAACTTTTTAGGAATTTTCTGCTCATCCTAAAGTTCAGGTTTATATTTCCAAAAAAATATTTTTTTATTTAGAGTATAATGCCTTGTTTTTCACATGATTTTCCTTCTCTGTTAGTGGTTTTATTACTACAATACTTCATTCTCAACTTTTTATGATGTCATAGCAGTGATATGAGCAATTATTAATGAAGCACAGTTATAAAATATATACAGGCAACATTTAGATATGATTGGATAGAACAAATTATACACTCTTTACTTCAATGTAGAGTAAATAATGTGGTCTGAGTGGTAATTTATGGCATATAAAATTGACTTGGATTTTCTGTATGAATTAACAAATGAATTTAATTAGAAGTTTAGAAGACTTAGGAACAAACCACAGAAATGGGATTTTTTCATACTTTGTTTAGGCAGTCTTCTTAGTTCTGAAAACGTTTTTGTGTGAATTTATATCTCTTAACAGCTAAATAAATTGTTTTCTGTGACAAGACATCAGATAAGCTTATTTAGGATTCAACAAGGTGGTAGCAAAATATTCTGGTGACTCAAATCCTTATTTATTGAATATTATTAACTCTTTCCAAACGGGTCACAGGTGAAAAGTCATGTTATTGCATTTGTTAACTCTCATTCAAAATTTTATTGAACTACTATTTCGTGAATTTATGTGAATAAGTTTGGTATCAAACTGTAGATTATAATTCAAATTTTAGTATTATGTATTACTCAATTTTTAATTTAAAAGTAAATATAAAAAAAAAACAGTTAAACATTGATTTTTGTGAGTCACATCGTATGTTGAATGCAACACTGGTTCAAATTTGATGTTTGTGATGTCAAGATACTATAGTGTATAGTTTTGTATGAATTAGGAACTCAAATTACCGATATTGACATGCTAGAATGTAAAGAAAGAATCTCTTATCTTTTCTATTTACTAAGCTATTGCTCATGCAATGAATCAAACATAGTGGCACCCCCGCTCACCTCTTTCCATTCTTGGAAATGCTCCCTTATATACACTTCTATATATGACTTGAATAACCAATCAAAAGGTCAGAATATTACCCTAGTGGCTTTTTTAGCCATTTTAAATTCTTAGGATGCCATTTCTTTCTTTCAAATCAATATTTCAAGAGGTAGGTTGTGCTTGAAATTTCATATTTTTTAATATTAAAATACAGCTTTGTTACTAAGCTTCATAAATTATAATGGAATTCTCGGCTATTGATATAGTAATTATGATTTTTTGGTTGTTCAACTGTATATATATATATATATATA